TCCGTCATCACTCCCATCGACCAACTTGCGTTCACCAGTGACTCGGATCAAGAGGATCCGCTCAAGACTCTTATTCGTTAAAGGACTACTCTTGGCCGCTGTAGTGGACTACCGACCTGCATTCCATCTTGCACGGAGATATGTGACGGTCTCGTGAAGATGATGATGAAGGGATATGATCGGCCCTTAGCATTAGTGATCATCCTACATACTGTTGCATTCTCCTCAGTGATTCACCTGCCCACTCGGGTTTTGGAGCAAGTCCGTCATCATCACTCCCATCGACCAACTTGCGTTCATAGGCTAGGCTAGTGGTATTGGTGACGACTGATGACAGGTTCACAGCAGAAAGGAATCAACAAAGTATGATAATGATCAGCTATGGTACACACCAGTGACTCGGATCAAGAGGACTAATCTTGTTGAAGTTTCAGCTCAAGGCTCTTATTCGTTGACGAGAAACACAAGTTTTTTGAATTTCCCAAGAAAAAAATACGCTCCTTAGTGTTCAGTCAGAGCCTCCAACCTAATACGTTATATTATCTATCGATCATTCCATGTTCAATGCTAAATCATGGGTTTGTGAAAAATATTTTTTTCTCATTTCAGTGGTTGTTAAATGCCAGGGGATTCATCATCATCGAAGGAGGTACCGTCTGAGGGGCCCGACGGAGAAGAGGGGGAGGGTGAAAGAATTGAGAAAGAAATATTATCACAAATCGACAAAGCCAGACGGAAAAAGAGTAATAAAAATTGGGCTTTATATGGATTCCTCAATGGTTGGCGTTTTACCGTGGAGTGTCACCACCCTAGTGATATGAAAATATATTTCACACCGCGAATATCGCGTTTTTCACGGAGTTTTACGTCATTAAACAGGGCGTGAAACATTTATATACGTTTTTTGAGGGAAAATACATTTTATATGGTCCTAACCCGGCAAACACAGGTTGCGCAAGGAATACTGATGGTATGTGATTTTAGTGACAATTCTGGAAATGGGATGAGGAATAGAAGTGAGAAATTATTGGTAAAAATAAATGATTCTATTTTTACTAGGAATTATAAAACTAATAAAAAATGTAGTGTATAAACTCCACGTATATATGTGAGTATATATGTGAAAATGAAATATATTCGCATTTTAGAGAACTGAATTAGTAACTTACTAATAGTAAGAGCTATTCCTGTGATGAATCATTCATTCCATACCATCATATGATCAAGTTATATAATGGAGTTTCACCACCCGTTTTACGTGAAGTGGCGTCGTAAAACTCGTCGTGAAAAACGCGATATTCGCGGCCTGTAGTAGTCGTGAAATACGTTTTTCATATCACTAGGGTGATGGAACTCTAATATATCAAAACACTAATTGATATACGTTAACGCAATAAACTGGTATTATATTTTTACTCTGAAGATTAACCTATCTCTAATATATTTGTGGCTATAGTATTGTTTATCGTTATGATATGGATAATAATAGAGTTTCACGACCACCCGTTTTACGTGAAGTGGCGTGATACTCTGTGAAAAACGCGATTTTATTCGCGGTGATATGCAGTGAAATAAGTTTCTCACTAGTGTTTTTCATATCACATGATGATTTCTCTTTAGATGTTAAGAATTGGGAAGATGATACGGAAGATGAATACGAACAAGAATATATCGCCTCTTTGAAAAACGAGGGCAAACAGAAAAGTGATGTTGGGCATTTATTATTAGTGAGTTGGCATATCAAAAGGCATTCAGGTTATATAGGGGCTGCTACTGGTGGAGTTGCTGCAGCAGTGGGGACATTTGTGGTAATATTAGAGGGGGGTCTACATACCGCACTTGGCTGAAATTGGCTATAATAGTTGT